CAAGGAGTAAGAACGACAATTGTGCTGCGTATAGCAGCGCTTATTTCAACACAACTAGGATTAAATAAGATCACGCAAGCAATAACTTAAACTCTTCCGGGCACAGGTGACCTCGGTCCACCCATGAGCTTCTTGCATGGTAGCTGAAACATGGCAAATGTCGGCCAGCAATATGCAGTATAGAGAAAAAAGGAAGACAAATCTTCTTTCAGAGGGAAATATTTCCTTGTGCGATGCAGTAACAGGTGCCTTATAACATATATTGACAAGCTGTGGATAGGCGGCATTCAAAACTAGAAACGTTCCGCATGTGAAAACAGCTCAAGACGATGATCTGAACAAATAAAACAAACACAAATATTTATCTGGATTACCAGTTCCAACGTTCATACGTAAATCTGTGTTACTCTGCCTGCATTTGCTGACTTTAAAAAAAAAACAACAACAGGTAAGTAACCACGATCATCCGTCATTCACGATGTAGAATGAAAGTGAACGATTACGACATTCACAGAATCGTCTCGAAAGATCAGACAGCAATTCAGCAACTTTTGTGTTCCTCCCATGATTGCCGTCTACAAGCATTAACTGTTATTCAACAGTGCCGATTAGTGCAGATTCAGTCATAAAAAACCAAACTGTTTCGCTACATCTGAGCATGAAGGCTTGTGGTGTGGATCTACCTCCAATGGATTTAATCAGATAAGAAACAAAACGTAAAACATTGTTCAAAGGAAAAAGGAGAGTTGGACAACATTGAAATGTCGATATTCTTTCACTTTCACAATTGGACCATTTTAGCACCCTTCTTTTCATCAAGGTTTTGGTGTGGTGCTGATCTACTGCACTATGCGATCAGTCAAGAGTGCCATATTTTTAAAGGTAGGGTCCAACATTTGGTAAGCACAGCGTCCAGCCACCAGTTTCCTTTTCTCAACTCAACTACTCATTTATCAATCTCAGAAGGAAATAACGCGCGTAACCCAGACCGAGGCTGTAACTCGCTACCAATCGTTTCTTCTGAGTTAGACGTCCTACCGACTTAGCAACCTCGATCTGAAGCAATGTACGGGAAAAAAATTTCCTGTCTTGTTCAAGGGAATTCGTGACGGACGGACATCGAGGGGATCGAACTTGGCACGTCCTGAGTTCACTGCAGACCTCTAAGACAACTGTGCCAACACGCCATACACGTAAAAGGTAAGAGTTAAAAGGCTCAACTTCATGGATACGCCAAAAGACGGGCTTCAATACTCCGTCAAAAATTAACTATTTCCAGCACCAGACATTTTATTTCATTGTAGATAAAGCTGAAAGTAGATTTTGCTTTCGCTTCAACATTGAAATGATTCCATTTCCTTCTTCATCACTCATAAGTTATTACTTTTCTTTACCACCTAAAAGACAGGAACAGAGGAAGAGTAATAACTTCTAAGTGCTCAAGGAATCGACGATTTATATTTGCGGCCATTATTATTGAACATGCGGAGCACTGTGTGACAGAAACATATATCAACATTAATTCACTTAACCGATTATCCTTTACTGACAGCTGATGAGTAAAGCCTTTAAATGACCTTCGATGAAACCATGTACAATACGCAACAGCATCCACCTTTTGCAGAGTAATACAGGGTTTATTTATATGTCAACGATAGTCAAAAAATATAAAAACTTTAAAACTGTACATAATAAACAGCATTTTGCTTTAGAATGGGTTCAGATCCTGACATTAATTGCTCATTCATTTTCAAAACTGGTTTTTTCAGCGGTAGGAAGAACTGTTTCAGGAGGTCTTTGCACCAATTATCCCGGTCCACCACCAAACAGATAAGCTCAATAATGCCATATTTTGTAAAATTGAGATTTTAGTTTGGAAAGTGTTTGAAGTCATAAAACTTCGTGCAATGCTCAAGAAAGATCTGCTATACAAACGAGGTACAACTAAGAGATCTATTCGTGTCTGCGAACACGAATTTTAGACAGCCAAATTCCACTAACGCTCCGTGATGAAGAACGGCACCGCCATCCCAGGGACTTGAACTGCACTTTTCTTCGTCGCAGAGGCACGCCGAGTGAAGCAGCTGCAAATTAAATAAATTAAACCTTCAACGATTAACAAAACAAAACAACTTATACGCGTCCAATCTGATGCTTAGGTGACGGCCGGGAATCACAGTACGTATGAAAAAGGAGTTCTGGTACACAGGTTCGCACTCGGTCTTCGTTCAGATTTGCATAAAAATCGTATGCCGGAAGTGCATCGGAAGAGGAGTCCAACGAAATGCTGTACGAAACGCCATTCACTTTGATGCCGTACCTGCTATAGCAAAGGATTTCGAACTGCCCTGAGTTCTTGAACAAATACTGTCAAAAAACACACAGCGAAAATAATTACTTACGGAGTCAAAG